GATGAGTTCTGCAAAATTTGTGGCCTTTCCTTCCCTTCTTCTACTTTTTCTTACCTTCCCTCCTCTCCTCCCCCTCTCTTCCCTGTTCTCATTTTTCACCTTCACTCTCTTCCTCCCACTCCCTCCTTCCTCCCACCCCTTCCCCCTCTCTCCTTTTCTCTTTCTTTCAACATAGTCTTCTGTATTCTAGGCTGGCATTGAACTTGCTATATAGCTGATGATGATCTTGGGTTCCTGATGCTTCTGACTTCAGCTCCCAAGGGTTAGGCTTACAGGAATCTATCTCCACACCTGGCTTTTCTTTATTGCGTTGACTGAATAACATCTCACCTTCCCTGTGGAGTGAGACTGCATTGCTCACTTTGGGACAAGTCTCGAGCACCTAGCTGAGTGCTTGGCACATAACACCTGCTGACTGTACATTGCTCAGTGGCTTGTGGAGTAAAAGAGCAATGGAGAGATTACTATCCCTTCATCTACTCATTTGCATGGAATGAGCAGAAATGGCAGTTCCATAGAAACAGAAACCACCCAGGAATGGGGAGTGACTACTGACAAGCAGATGGCATCTCTAGCGTGATGGAAGTGTTACAATAAAACTAGATTACACAACATTTGCACTATTATGTATACTTACTAAATTTAATATATACAATGAGACCATTTTATGACATGTCAGATAGACTTCAATGATGCCATAAAACTTAACAAAAAATCAGTCTCTGGCTCTTTGCCATCCAGGCCCAGAGATTTTTCTGATGTCAAAGAAGAACCCCAAATCCTACAGAGATTAACTTCTAACATCACTGGAGACCACAAAGCTCACTGATTCATGTGCAACTTGACTTCTCTGTGGAAGGTAATTTGCCATGTCAGGTTTGTCAGTGGCAGCTGATAAGAAGGTCCCACGACTGTGTGATTCCCCATACTAAGTATTAAAAACAAGAAAAAAAAAAAGCCTGTGGCTCAATATGCTTGGACATTAACACAATATGCACACAAGTTAGATAGGACGAGAGAAGTGTCCCAGTATCACCAGCCAAGGATAAGAACCTGAGATAGCCAACAGAAGGTATTGCCTCAAATTATGAAGTTACAGTACACGGTTGCGCAACAGCCACATGATTCTCAGTGGGTGAGTAGTTTCTGTTGTCTTTTGCAAATTTGGCATATGTGTGTACTCTTTAAGCTCTGGTATGAAAACATGTTTAAGAACACACTGGCTCTTTTAATTATGTCCCCGGAAGGGAACCTTTTTGTCCTATTCTTGTCAAATGAGATGGGGAGAAAATGGCTTGCTGGGAGAAATAGTGCCATACCTTTGACATTTGTACTTACTATTCCCTAGTCACCAAACAGAACATAGCAGTGTTTTACAGGTCCTGGGCAGCTCATCTCCTGTTCCAAGAACAGCAGAGCCAGCAGAAGAAATATCTCCACCATCCTACCTTTGGGCTAGCTCTTTGTCCTTTGCACAGAAATGATTGGTGAAACCATTTTACTTTAGAGGTGACATCTGTAAGAGATGACCCTTCGTAAGATGTAAGAAATAGTCCTCTGGAGGATGATTGGAGTGGAGGAGAGATCCCTCATAGGAAACACAATGAACCTGAGTACAAATCACCCTTCTTCAGTAAGTCAGCTGTGTCCCCTGGAGAAATCCCCTTTCCTCTCTGAGCATCTGATGGCCCATCCATAAAACCAGGAGATTAGAGTTTTAAGATCCTGTTATGCTAGTAGTAAGAATGGTTATAGCTGTACCTGGGCTGAGGAAAGAGTTCAGTCATTGAAGCACTTGCTCTGCAAGTGTGAGGACCCAAGTTTGAATGCTAGAACCCATATTTAAAAAAAAACCTGGGGAGGCAGAGACAGCTAGATCTCTGAACTGGTCACCCATCTAGTTAGCAAGCCCCAAGATAGTGAAAGAGCTTGCTTAAACAAGCAAGCAAACAAACAAACAATCAAACAAAAAATTAAGGTAGGGGCTGAAGAGATGCCCCAGAGGTTAACTTAATGTTTGTTCATTCTGATAAGAAGTAACACACTTCTTCCACCAAGGCCACACCTCCAATAATGTGACTCCTTATGAGTCTATGGGGACCGAGTTCATTCAAACCGCCACAACTAGCAAGTGCTAGATTTGCTTGAGACATTTGCCTCAGTGAACAAGGTAGAAGCGTGATGGAAAATGATGTCTGAAAACATCCTTGGTCCTACACATGCTCCCAGATATAGGTATGCCCACCCACATACATATATGCACAAACACACACATGCACACTATATGCACAGATGTGAAAATAGAAAACGGGGAAAATATAAGAATCATGCATGATCAAAGGAAGAGTTCCATATAACTCGGTTGTTGACCCAAACAGGTCCTAACAACCATGCCTTGAGTACTGGACATACGCAAAGCTCTCTGTCCTCTTGGTGACTTGAGCGTTGATCTGAATCAGGAACCAACATGTTTGTGTTACAGTCTTCATTCTTCACTTCAAGAATCACAGGGCTCAAATTTAAGAAGTATTGCTAAATCGTTCTAATATACTCTCTACCACAATGAATAACTATAGAATGCCACATTCTGGGATCAACACTTTTATCAAAAAGGTTTCTCAATTAGTTTTCTAAGGCTGATACAAAATTACTACATACAAGACATTCATTTGTATTAGTTACATTTCTATTGCTGTGATAATACACCATAACCAAGGCCACTTATAGAAGAAAAGGTTATTTAGGCTCATGGTATCAAATAGAGTTGAGTATGGTGGAATGAAGGCATGTTGGTAGATGCAGAAACCTGAGACCTCATGCCTTCAATCACAAGCAGGAAGCAGAGAGAGTGCACTGGGAATAGTGCAAGCATTTTAACTCTCAAAGATCACCCTCAGTGATGTCTAGCAAGGCCACACCTACTATACCTTGCCAAACAGTGCCACTAAGTAAGGACCAAGTATTCAAATGTCTGAGATTATGATGGATATTTACATTCAAATTACCACAACACTGAAGTCAAATATATTTTTTTCATAGTTTCAGAGGTCCAAATTCATGATATCATCACCGCTTCTGAGAGCTACTTGATAGTTAACCTTCATTGTCAACTTGATGGGATTTAGAATCACCAAGGAGATGTACCTTTAGGCATGTCTGTGAGGCTGTTTCCAGGGTTGCTTAACTTAGGAAGGCTCACTCTGAATTTGTGTGGTACTGTTCCATCAACTATGGTTCTAGACCAAACAAAAAAGAGAAAACATTGAATAGAGGTTCTCTGAATCCCTCCCGCAGAAGACAGGGATTATTAAATGAAAGATTCATTGCCAGACATAGAATAGTTTCCTTTGAGTTTTTGGTCAAGAAGGCCCATAGGCCCCTGACACAACACAGGCTATTAACAGTCTTTGCTCTTGGTTGTCCATCATAGCTAGATGGTAAGATTCCATTGCTGAAGACATGAGATGTGCAGAAATCGGGCTGGAACTAATTTAGAACTTTCTCCCTATTGGCTATCTTTAGCAGACCTGGCAGGAGCTATATTAGCTGCTGAGAGTGAAAAGTCATCAATGGACTTACCCAAGGGTAGACTCTGCATGCTAACATACTGACCTGCCAGACACTGGTGCAATAGTGGCGTGACTGTTATAGGAAGAACCAATTGCTTTCTGTTTTGATTTGAGGCTTGCTCCAAAGGAAGGTATTCTTACCTAGCACTATAAACGTGGTCAAAAGGCCATAGCTAAGCAGGTTATAGGCCTTAG